ATATAATTTATTTTCTCTCTTTTCCCCACTAGAATGTAAGCTCCACGAAGGCAAGGATCTTTGCCAGTTTTATTTATTGCTGTATCCCCGGTGCATAGTTCCAGGACCCCCTGTGGATACCAAAATCTGAGGATGCTTAAGTCCCTTAAATAAAAAAGTGTAGTATTTGCATATAACCTACGCATATTCTCCTGTATACTTTAAAATCACCTCTAGATTACTTATAATACTTAAAAAAAAGTAACTGCTATGCCAATAGTTGTCTCATCACAATGGAAGACTTGCTGTGGAAAGGCCATTCTCCTCTATGAGTTTCTTGAACTCTTCTGGGAATGCTGATGCTGCCTGGGCATCAGCCAATGAGATCCGCCCCGTGATCTTGAAGTTCTTGAGGCTGTAGCGCTTTCCAGAGCTAGCCAGCCATCCCTTACTAGGGTGAACCTCCTTCCTCTCACTGTCCTCAACCCCCTCACAACTTAGCCTTTGACGGATTGCTCTGACCCCTTCACTGCTTTTTAGGAGCCATTGTTTCACAGAAACAAAGGGTGCACACAAGCAGCAAATGAATGAGATGCGAGGCGAACAATGTTCAAACGAGTGCTGGAGAGATTGAGGATCTGTGCAGTGGCTGAGGCTTCAGCAGGGGATGCCTACACATCACTGCATTCACGTTCATTCACATAGTGCTTGGCACGCAGCAAATGCAAGTTTTGCTTTTTAGAATTTTCTTTCTTTTCCCGAAAATTTTTGATCCGTGGTCGGTTGAATCCGTGGATGTGGAACCCGCGGATACAGAGGGTGGACTGTATAGTGCCCAGTTCATAGCACAGGCTCAAATATTTGTTAAATGAATAAATGACTGCTCAGAAGTGCCATTCATAGGACCCTGGACTAAAAAACAACAACCTACAGTGTTCTTAAGGAATGCTCTATGCTGGCGCAGGTAAGTATGCCATAAAAAACAAAAACAAGAAATAAACCAGTTGCTATCGAGCCAATTCCGACTCATGGCGATCTCACATGTGTCAGAATAGAACTGTGCTCCATAGGGTTTTCAATGGCTGATTTTTTGGAGGTAGATCACCAGGCCTTTCCTCCGAGGCTCCTTTGGGTAGACTTGAGCCTCCGACCTTTCGGTTAGCAGCTGAGTGCATTACCCGTCTGCACCACCCTGAGAGTCCATCGATGCGTGTATTTGCTGACCAGCTGGATAAATGCATAAATGACCACTGGATTCAGGGATGCAGACAGCATCCCCATCTGAGACTGGAAGGTTCAGGGTCCTGGAGGGTAAGCACAGCTGCTCGGGAATCTCTGGGCCCACAGTGCTAGCTCCCCTAGGTGCTGGCCTGGCTTTGATGGGTGTAACACTAACTGGAACAGCTTCTCTCCCTGCTTAAAACCCTTCTGTGGCCTCTATTGCTTGTTAGAGAAGG